TGAGGAACCCATCCTGGAAACCCCACGTCGACCCATATGGTGAAACAGTTAGTATATACTAACGCTGATCCAAGTATAAGCGCATCTTCAAATACACAATCGAAATACATATGAGCTCCAAAAAGCAACGACAATGGGTGATTCATCCTACACATCTAAAAATAAAGAAGCAAGTCGAAGCCCGGTAAATGACAATTCTAAGTTTAAGGTAGGAGATCACCTTACCACTCAATCTAGTATAAAACAGTGTTAGTTCAAAGCAATACAAAATAACCATGACGAGTGTAGGAATGAATGTATTATTTTTCCATTCATGATACATCGATGGAAGCCATTAACAACATTGCATGGGATATTTACTCCAAATGAAAGTGAATGACATATCATGGTATGAGATACGCTTATCACCAATTAATCCATTAATAGACACGTGTGCTTATATATATTTATATATGCACATATACGTGTATTATATTCTTTACTTCTCATCCCGAATACTCTTGGGGCATCCCGACACACGGGACATCCCGACTCACGAGGTATCTTGACATGGGGGCTTCGTCATCATTATTATATGAGTGACGGAAATAAATATAATACTTTCCATATTTTATCGCACAGCAACAATGTTCATGATAATATCATAATCATATGACTTTTCATACATCAACAACGAAATCAACACTCATTTCAACAATCAACGTACATTACACAATGTATATTATTGCCTTGCCCTTTTACTAATCACGTACTAATAACATGCTTAGCTCCTTTAATTTATCATACAAGCAATAATAACACGCTTAGCAAATCGACAAATGGGCAATACTTGGTAAGTGTTTACATTCGGCAAATAGAAAATGGATATGCTCAGCAAATGGGTATAGTCAGCTAGTGGTTATATTTGGCAAGTGAATATGAGTAGTAAGTGGTCAAACTCCACGAGTGGATTTAGCAAGTGAATATGAACCGCAAGTGATCATACTTGTTGACACATGAATTTTTCCTAATGATGTATCGAATATCGTTTCTTTGAGGTGTTCACACCGGTTTGCGTCAACCCATTTCCATTACCGTTGTATTGTGAATGTTGGTGGCTCAATGTGATGGTCGATGGTCGCATTCCTGCGATTAGAGACATTCCTATAAGTAGAGACGTTCATGGTGGTGGCTAGTAACGATGGTTGAATATGGTGGCCGATGGTGGAGCTCCGATGAATGAGTGTGTACGGGATGACTCTGAAATGTGAGGCTCTTGGCTGGAGATTTGGGTGTTCTGGGCGTGCTAGGAGAGAAAATAATGTAAAGGGGATGTTGGGTTAAAAAGAAAGAGGTAATAGTAAGAAAATGGGCTCACTAGGCTATTATCTAAATTTGGGGTTTAATGTCTTGGGCTTGTCTCAGTTATTAGATTAGTTTTGGGCTTTGATTGTTGAAATTAGCTTTGGGCTGAACTTCATCTATTGAGGTTGGGTTCGGTTAATTGCTGGAGGAATTGGGCTTAATTACATGAGTTGAGCCCAATTCTTTTGTTAATTGAAGCTTCCTAATGTAGAGAGCCCATTTGTCTTTGTGCCCTTGGCCCAGATCCCATAGTCCACGACGGCCCACATTCTGACCAGGCCCGAGTCCCCATTTTCGGAATTAAATAATTTTTAAAAAATAAAAAATTAACTAAATTTGGAAAATTTGGAAAATGGCTTTGAGGTAGGTCTTTATTAGGTTGTCCTAGTTTAGTACTAGATCATGCCTAATTTCATTGAGTTGACATAACTTTTAGTTTAGGGGTTTTAGTGATTACCTTACAGATTGCTTAGGTTTAGATAAATTGAACTTTTATGTTAGAAATTGGACTTAATTTGAACCAAGCTCATGTGGGATAATGTCCATGGGTTTAGAACGACGCCATGTATATATATTGTTTGCCCGACGAGTATCAGGTTTCCTCTCTCGTACTTTACTTTAAGCAGTTTTCAATACTTGTGTATTTAATTTATGCACATTCTAAGTTAATGGTACTGAAAGGGCGTTAATAGACATTAGCGTAATCAAGTCCCCGAACTAGAATCTCTGGTTGCATAGAAAAGAGGACGAATCTCCCATGTCTCATTTGGTTTCTAGCCAACCCCAAATGGCTAGCGGCAACTCATAAAAATGCTTTAGTCTAATTGAACTTAAAACGAAATCCAATATCACGGGAGGTATGGACTTAAGAGAGCTCGCACCTAAACCGATGGGCCAATTGGCCCGCCACTAGGCAATACCCTAAAACCTCTTTTTCTCCCAACCGCTTCAAAAAATTTAGGTCAAGACAATACTCAACAAGTGAATATGAGTAGTAAATAATCATGCTCAAGAAGTGGATTTAAGCATCATGTGGTTATACTTAGCAAGTGAATATAAACAATAAGTGATCACACTCAAGAAGTGGATATGAGCGGCATGTAGCTATACCCAACAAGTGAATATGAGCACTAAGAGGTCATACTCAGCAAATAAAAATGAGCAGTATGTGATTATACCTAGCAAGTGAATATGAGCAGTAAATAATCATACTCAGGAAGTGGATATAAGCAGTATGTTATTATACTTAGCAAGTTAATAGGAGCAGTAAGTGGTCATTCTCAGCAAGTGGATATAAGGATCTGTTTAGCTAATCATATTTGGCACATGTAGGATCTGTTTTTAGCTTTAGCTTGCATCTATTTCTATTGTTTGACAAGTTTTGTGACTCTTATGATTTGACCTGTATTTAATACAAAGCATCTGTAATCTTCGAACACATATAAGTATGGATATGAGGAAGCACATTCACATTTTTATCATGATTTTTCAAAATTGAAATTTTGTTCAAATGTGAGAATTTGGGAGGGAAGTGAAGGGAAAATAAAAGAAATGAAATAAAGAGAAAAGAGGAAATAGAGATAATTTATTGTGTTGGACGCACATTGAGGAGAGATGATGAGGAGAGGATTAGAAATAAGACGACAAAAAAAAAATTGATCCTTTATCCTATTCTTTTAAAATAGGAATGAAGAGTAAAATTGGAAATAAACTACGCCGAAGCAATCTCCCTCCATTTCCTCCCACCTTTGGAAAGAAAATTAAGGTTGGTCGGGGGAGAAAGTGTCCAATTAATCCTAATACTATTATACGGTTCAGTCATAAGTCCAACTTTCTAGTTTAGTTATAAACATTTGCGCTAAATTCAATTTAGTCCTTTGGGTTGATTTTCGTTGAAAATCGCTGACGTAGCGTTGTGCCCTGCAGGATAGCCGGCGGGCAATGACTGGACCGCCACGTCAGAGATTTTCGACGAAAATTGACTAGATGAACTATATTGGAATTCCGCATAAAGGTTTAGGATTAAGTTGGCAAAATTGAAAATTTTAAAATTGAATTAGCATCCATACAATAGAGTGGGCTCCGTTTATTTCACGGAAAATAAATGTTTTGGAAAATATTTTCCAAAAAATATCACTTCAATCGCTTGAAATAATTAGTTAATGAAAAATATTTTTATTATCGACAATAATTTATGTATAACAAATTTATTGAACGATGAATATATTTTTTGTTCATTTATTTTTATAAGCGATACGAGCGATTATTTTTTGGAAAATATTTTCCAAATTGTTCATAGTCTATGAAATAAATGGAATTTTAGGACTGATTGGGTAATTTTCCCCCAAAAAAAATATTTCCTTTCATTTTCACTTATGGCCCTCTCATTTTAATATAAACCTCGTATCATGAGATCTCATCTGCCACAATAAACCTCACCCCCAACAAACAACTCAGTTTGGTTCAAAAAAATAATTATTTTGATAGAGCAATCATTCGGTTATTTGATATGAAATTAGGAAAATGACACAAACAATCCCTGAACTTTAACCTAATGTATAATGTGGTCCCTAAACTTTAGCTCAATATGCAATATCGTCCATGAACTTTCAATCTATTCAATTAATGTGATTCCTAAACTTTTGATAAATATTCAATCTAGTCCCTGGATTATATGAAAATGTTCAATGTTGTTCTTAGACTTGACTTGAATTAATGGAAGAATAAATATTGAACATTTTCATATAGTCCAGGGACTAGCTTGAACATGTACCACAAGTTTAGGGACTACACTGAACAAATTAAAAGTTCATGGATCATATTGCATATTAGGCTAAAGTTCATGGGCATCATTTAACAAATTTAAAACTTAAGGATTACATTGCATATTGAATCAAAGTTGAGGGATTATTTGTGTTATTATCCATCATGAAAATTAATGCAGGGGTTGCTCAAAGAAGCGAAGTGTAAATTTTTTATTAAATGAAGAAAAAACCAGCCCATCATTTCGGAAGAGTCGAGCTTCGAAATAATGGATGACAGAAAATTCTTAACCCAGAAGTTTTTTGTTTTCCTTAAATCAGAAGTTCAATCTTCTTTCTTGAGAAAAGGTTCTATGAAAGTTCATTTCTCTACAAGATCTTGAATAAAAACATAGTCTGAGATAGTCATTTCACAACTGAAGAAATGCAACTACAATCCTTGGGATACTTTCATTCTCAATCGAGGCATGCTTATGACTCTAGCAATTGTTCTTCATTAAACAAGGAAATTTGTATCATTCAGAAAGGCTATGACAAGGCCAATACAAGATTTTCCTTACCATATCGAGATATCGCTTCATGTTTAAATTTATTTTAAAACAATCTTAGTTCGTTTGATCTTTGATTAAGAGCACTTAAGGAGAATCATCTGTTAAAGTTACACATAACATTTAAACAACTATAACAAAAGACAACATGAGCTAAAGTAAAGACCCTAAACAAAGAGGAACGACAATCAGAAGTAATCATATTCACAAATTAACATAGCGCAACTCATGAAGCATGTAATAACTTTGTTTTCCTGCAATCATAATCACAAATTAACATTACCTCCACATGCACAGTTGCACCAGCATATGTATATGAAGATCCTGATAAATAAGCAAACCGAAATAGTGAATTCTGTATCTTTGTTTTCCTCCAATCGGTCGAAATTCTGTACATGTAAATCTCATGAAGCATGTAATAACTTAGTCTTATAATCTATAACACTTCCTGCCTTTTTCCTATCTACAATTAACAGTAAAGATACACACTCGATCAGTTAACGATCAAAAAGGCCTCTTCAGATCCTTGAAGTCCAGAGAATCGATACACTCCAACCTCTCTCTGTGCAGATTCAACAGCTTCACCACCTGTGTCGCCTTCTCTTTGGTCGTCTCTCCACACCCAACCTGAAGCAGCAACAGCAGCTTTTGGAAAGCACCCACCAGAAGAGCTTCGGCCAAAACCCCTCCACCATCTTCGCCGCTCTCGCATATCGCCATCAGCTTCCACAGAACCGACACCGAGAACTCCGTGGCCAAATCCGAGACCCGCAGCAACTTCTTCACCAGGACTGGCACGGCCAATGAATTATCACGCACCGCTTCTTTCCCTTCTTCATTGTCGCAGATCCCATCAAGAACCCCCAACGCCTTCTCAGATGTGCTCCGATCAGCGTCCACGAGCGTCTCCACAAGCAAAGAGACCAAGCCCATTTGCACGAATCTAGATATGATAGCGTCCTTAGCCGGATGGGACGACGTGACCATGTGATAAATGACTATCAATGAAGATTTCGTTGCCGCGGGGCAAATGGGTTCCTTGACGAGCTTGAACAGGGATTTCGAGGCCCCTTCGATCTCAGCCAAAGCCTCGATCTTCCGCTTGTCCGACGAGACGATCTCTCTCAGCGCCAAAGCCGAGTTCCATCTCGAGGACAAGTCGCCGCTTGTCAAGAACCCGACCATGCAGCGTAAAGAAGAGGGCGATCCTAGGCACGACTTGGCCTCTACACCAAGAGGCAGCAACAATGTCAAAGCCGATAATATTTCCTTCAAGACGGCATCATTCTCTTCATCCGGGCTCGATGTCTCCGAGAAAGCTTCAAACGCCGCCGCCAAGATGGAACCCGTTCCGTTGGATTTGAAGCACTTCTTGTTCCGTTCGCTTTCCTTGGTCAAGGCCTTGATCTTCACCACCTGCTTCCTGCAAACACTTTGGTCTTTCACTTTGCTAGCCTCGGAAATCTTAGCGAGCATCTCCGCGACTTCCATCGAGCTCACGGGGATCCTCGGGGTCGGGATCCGCTCTATCCCGTGGGATCGGTTCTCGACGCACCAGTCCTGGATCATCCTCCTTATCATGTGGTTCGGCACCGGCTCGAGGCTCCCGAGGGCCCGGTTGGTGATGGGGCACGTCCGGTTCCCGGCCTCGATCCACGTCTCGATGCTCTCACGGTCGTACGTGATCCCGGAGGACAGGGTGACCGGGTCCTTCATCAGGTCAAGCGATATCGGGCACTTGAACTCGCTCGGGACGGTCAGCTCCACTTCCTCGTAGGCTTCGTCCCCGCTCCGGACCTCCAGCTTGCGGGCACGCCGGGCAGCCATCCGTCGCCTCCACGTCGAGATCATCTCTTCAGCCGAAGGAACGAGTTCTGGGGGGGGGGGGGGGGAGATTGAACTGTTGGAAACGAGAAAGTCTTCAAGGTTCTAGGTACAGCCTGCAATGTTTGAAGGAAGACAGGAGAATGATTCCCTGGTATTTATACAAGGGGCATGCAAATGCAAAGGCAAAGGCAAAAGCTAGGTTAAGGGTGGGTGATGCACGCGGTTCAACTTTCAAAACTCGGATAATTATGTTGGAATAAGATAAAGAGGGAAGTTGCAGAGAGAGACAAGTATTGTGGCATGAGTTTTTGAACGGTTGACCGTTGAAACGCTGAAATGGTGGGAAAGAGAGGGAAAAGACGAATTGGACAGCGTCTAGAGAGGAGGCTGACAACCTAAACAGTGGAGGGTCTTAGTTGTCCAATCATATTTTTAAACATAGTGGATCAAAGGTCAAAAGGTTTGACGTTCGTGGAGCCGGTGGAGGTGGAGGTGGAAGTGGTCTCTGGTCAACGGAGTCGGTGGGGCTGACCATGCGCACGATCTCCGCATGCATGTGAAGGTACTACTGCTGTACACAGATTAGTTTGGCTTTAATTACTAATTATCGCTCTAATCAATCTTAAAGCCGAAGACACGTTGACCTGATCTGGGCCGTCATTAAGCTCCCTTAATATTGGCCACTTAACAACACGCACCCGTACGCGTAACCCAAGAGCTTCGGGAGTTGTGTGGTCGGTTCGTCCTTAGCCGTGTTGTTGACTGACCCTTTCAAAATCTAGGTAGATGCATGCATGCTTGTCCCTTAAGATTGGGATGCTCTCGAGCCATGAACCAACCCAAGGTCCCGCTGGTCGTACGTTATGGATATTTCTCTTATTTTTTTTAAAGGTTAATACCATCAAAAACTCCAAATCGGTGCGTGTGTGACAATTTTACCCCGAACTTTTTTTTTACCACAAAAAATCTGAAACCGGTACATCTGTGACAATTTTATCCCGAACATACCACAAAAAACCCCAAACTTGTACACCTGTGACAATTGAACATACCACAAAAAATCCCAAACTGGTACACATGTGACAATTTTACCCTGAACTAAAATTTTAATATTATTTTTTATTTTTTCGAATTTTTACTTAATTTTTTTGTTTTTTCTTTTCTTTTTTTTTCCCCATCTTCAACCTCTGGCCGGTCGACGGACCGGTGACCGGCCAGAGGCGGAAGTCGGCGAGGTCGGCCCCGCCAACTGCTGGCGAGAAAATTTTAATATTATTTTTTATTTTTTCAAATTTTTAATTAATTTTTTTGTTTTTTCTTTTCTTTTTTTTTTTCTTCATCTTCAACCTTTGGCCGGCGAGGTCGTCCCCGCCGGCTGCTGGCGAGGGCGACCCTTGTCTGAGTCGGGCGAGGGCGGCCCTCGCTAGCGTCGGGCGAGAGCTATCCTCGCCCGCCCAAGCGAGGGCGACCCTCGCCCGACGCCGGTGAGGGCAGCCCTCGCCTGAGTCGGGCGAAGGCCGACCTCGCCTTGGCGGGAGAGGACAGCCCTCACTCGACGCCGGCGAGGGCCGCCCTCGCCCGGACTCGGGCAAGGGCGGCCCTCGCCAGCGGCCAGCGGGGCCGACCTCGCCGACTTCCGCCTCTGGCCGGTCGCCGGTCCGGCGACCGACCAGAAGTTGAAGATGAAGAAAAGAAAAGAAAAAATAAAAAAATTCAAAAAAAATTCAAAAAAATAAAAAAATAATATTAAAAATTATTAGTTCATGGTAAAATTGTCATAGGTGTAGTTTGGGGTTTTTCATGGTCAAAAAAATAGTTTAGGGTAAATTTGTCACGAGTTTACCAGTTTGGAGTAAAATTGTCACAGGTGTACTAGTTTGGGGTTTTTTGTGGTAAAAAAAAAAGTTCGAGATAAAATTGTCACACGCATACCAATTTGGGGTTTTTGGTGGTATTAACCCTTTTTTTAATTACAAGATTTTTGAAATCCCTTGAGTAGCCTACCGATTTCACGGGTACGGAATGTTCGTTCTCCTGGAATGACACCGAGAGAGCAGGCGAATTCAAATTTTAAACGGGGAAAATGGGCATCTTATAAATGCTCTTGAGGGGAAGATTATAAAAAAAAAAAAAAGAAAGTCATAAACCTATTGTGCGACAGCCAATTCAATCATAGACCTTTCAATTTTGTCAATTCAGTTCTAAACCTTTTGATAACTTGCCAATGCAGTCTTAAACCTTTCAATTGTGCCAATTCAGTCATAAATATTTTAACAATTTGCTAATTCAGTCATTTCGGTTAATTTTGACAAGAAATTATTGACGTGGTGGTCCAGTCGTTACCAGTTGTCCTATGTGGTGCGACTGACGCTGAAGTGGATAATTTTTTTTTTAAAAAGTTATGATTTTTTAATTATTTTGTATTCTTTTCTTCTTCTTTTTTTCTATTTCTTCTTCATTGAGCTGGCTAGGCTGCCAGCCACTTGCCGAGGGTCGGCGACCCCCGCCGGCCCCTGGGCGAGGGCTCGCAATGCCCTTGTCAGCCGCATTGGGGGCTTGCGAGCCCTCGCTTCGGCCCTCGTCTACTACAGCGAGGGCGAGCGAGGGTTGCAACGCCCTCGCTATCTTGCTCACCCTTGCTATGGCTAGCGAGGGCTTTGTTGCCCACAGGCCCGGCCGGCTCATTGAAGAAGGAAAGGAAAAAAGATAAAATAAGAAAATAATAAAAAATATCAATAAAAATAATTAAAAATAGAAATTTTTTTAAAAAATAAAAAATTATCCACGTCAACACTGGCCGTGCTATGTAGGCCGGGTAACACCAACTGGACCGCCAAGTTAGCGATTTTTGATCAAAATTACCTGGAATGACTACATTGGTAATTTATTAAAAAATTTATGACTAAATTGACAAATCATCAAAATGTTTTGGACTAAATTGGCACAATTGAAAAGTTTAGGATTGAATTGGAAAGTTGTCAAAAGGTTTAGGACTGAATTGGAAAGTTATCAAAAGGTTCAAGACTGAATTGGAAAGTTGTCAAAAGGCTTAGGACTGAATTGGCAAGTTATCAAAAAGTTTAGGACTGAATTGACAAAATTGAAAGAATTAAGACTGAATTAGCCATTGTATAACAGATTTATGACTTTTTTTGACAATTTTTTCTTCTAGATGGTCTTTGGTCGGATTATGTAGTTAATAGGGATGATCGGTTCCCGGTCCGGTCCGGTTTCAAGGTGGAACCGAGAACCGGACCGAGAGAACCGGTTCCCAATTTTGGGAACCGCGGACCGGACCGATTGGTTCTAGAATCGAGAACCGGACTGGACCGCTAGTCCGATTCGGTTCCGGTCCTGTCCAATGGAACCTGTCACTTAGAGTTTAGTTTTTTTTTTTGGTTAAACACTTAAGGTTTGGTTCATATTTTACTAATTTTTGTCAATGAATTTATGTCAATGAAGTTCACTTAGGGTTTAATTCCCATTTTACTAATTTTTATCAATGAATTTATGATAATGAAGTTCACTTAGAGTTTAGTTCATATTTTATTAATTTTTTTTTAAAAAAATAACAAATATATATATTAAATAGTCGGTCCGGTCCAGTCCGGTTCCCCCTTGGAACCGGGAACCGGACTGCCCGGAAACCGGTTCCACTTTTAGGAACCGGGAACCGGACCAATAGTCCCGAGAACCGGACCAAATCCGTCGGTCCGGTCCAGTCCGGTCCGATCCCGGTTTGGGCGGTCCAAGTTGCTCACCCCTAGTAGTTAATTGGTGCTGTAAAGCTCTTTGAATGGAGATAGGAAAGCTGGCAAATACACAAACTTTGTGTAGTGGGTCAGGCTAAAAACTAAGTCTTGACTGTATCCAAATTTTTTTTTTTGTCGAATTGACTCTACCCAATTAACTCGCCGACGATCACGCGATCAGCTTCAACATTTGTTGGCGATGTACGGCAAGAGGTCCCGATGCGTGCAATCTAAACCCATGTGGCCTGATAAAAAGAAATATACTATGGAGCGTCGTTCTTTTCCCAGCAATTCACGACGAATTTTCCATTTCTGACCATATAGAATGTGCGCGAATAGTAAAGTTTTGGAGCAACACTATTATTGTAGCACGTGAAGTTTTTCCCAATGTGTCAAAAAAGCAACATCTTTATTCGGTCGCCCCCACACTTTTCCCTTGGTACGTGCATGTGGGGGCGACGACGACGGGGGGAAAAGAGATGGCACGCGAGCGATGGAAATTCGCCTAAATTCACGCCTCGGGAAAATTAGCCCCAAAAAAAAGTTAATAATATAAAAGTAATAAAACATGGGTTTTAACCAAACAAATCAATCTGACCTGCGTTTAAAAAAAAAAGCGAAAAGTATGACTATTTAGCCACGAAATCCCGTTAATTAATTAACTTCTAGATACGAGATTAACTAGGTAACCTTTTGTTCCCCACGTCTTTTCTCGAAATTTCTTCTCACGTCAGTTCATTACGATTAGTGTGATTTCGTGTCGATGCACGTGCGTGCTTGTACATGGAATTGGACCGAAGCTGCACGAGCAGATGGCGAGCCTTCTAGTTTGACCATCTAATCCATTGTTTAACGTTTTTTCTTTTTATTTTATAGAGAAACTTTTCCGTCAAATTTTTTCTAGATTTTGTTGGCCAACTTTATCGTTAAAAAAATAATTATTTGTTCAAAAATGTTTTTGACAAATTGGGTTACTCAACAGCCAGTTGCCTTTAGGAGACTGATCTCGGGTTTGGATCGCATTATTTTGGGCAAACACAGTGACGAAGGATTACCATGTACTGAAACCGATCAAAGATCGGCGAAATTATTCATTTTAAAATTTATACTATTTTACGCGGTCTATACAAAAAACTTAAAAAGTATATATAAATTATTATTTTTTAAAATTTTCGGTCGAAACCCGGTGGGAAGACACGTGTATCTTGTAAAACAAAATTGGAACACCTAATTTTCTTTTATGAGCAAGTCAACTTGAGAAGGGTAATGTAGCTTGGGGGCTTTTACCATTTGCGGACACAAAAGGCCCGCGTTCGTTGAACCAGAACAGAAGAGCTGTCGAACTTTTCCACCGAAATCAACCGCACGCTTCGAATGCCCGCAATTGGTACATTCATTCTCTCTTTTTATGCATTGTGAATCTACGCCAACAGCACTTTGTGACAAAAATTATTTTAAAAGTCATAAATCTATTGCACTTATGTTAATTGAGTCCTAAATATTTTCATATTTTTGTCAATTAAATCCATCCGATCAATTTTTACTGGACATTGCTGACATAGACGTCGGGCGACGTTGATGGGAATAATTTTTAAATTTTTCTCTTAACCTTTTCTTTCTTTTTCTTTCCTTTCCTTCTTATAGGTCGCTGGTCAACGGTCACAGGCAATGGCCAAGATGGCTGGCCTCGCCTGGAAAGGGCTCCCCTCACTAGATCCGATGAGGTCGACCCCCGCCCCACCCAAGCAAGCCTCACCCAGACGACGTCCGGCAAGGCCGCACTGGCCTGGGCAAAGGTCTGCCTCGCCAAATATGTGGCCTAGGCGAGGCTGCCCTGGCCTGAGGCGAGGGCGAGCGCCGGTGAGGGCCCCTCTCGCCTGTGGCCTGATGAACAGGCCGGACCATTTTCCAAACAAGCGTGTAATTGTAGTGCTGAAGTGAGTGAACAACTCTCTACTCAGACAAGCCTGAATCCTTTACATAACCTGATGAACAGTTCAGACTTCAAACTCAAAAGTCTTCGTGCAACAATGTCGCATCTCTTCCTGGTTGAATAGCCATTTTCCTTTTTCTCTCTGCCCAGAATCGATTGGAGTAAGTCAAGCCAGAAAGTCTCGATATTTACATTTTTCGCCTTGATCCCTTCAAGATTTATCAGAGCCATTGCTGGTTCGCAGCGGCGGCGAGTATTCTCTCTGCAAGATCCTGCTCTAGCTAGTTCAAGCTCGAGAATGAAGGAATCGGATTTCGAGGTCTCAAGCTATGATGATTCTTGGGTTAAACTTGGGTTTAGAGCACTGCAAAGAAATGGGTCGTTGTTGTGTTCACCGTTGGTGCTGGACAGGCGAGGGTCGGTCTCCCTAGATCTGGCGAGACCAGCCCTCCCGGCCATCGCTTGACGGCCTCCGGCAAAAAGAAAAGGGAAAGTAAAGAAAATATAAAAAAAAAAATTCAGAAAAATTAATAAAAATTTGTCAAAATATTAAAATATTATCTAAAAATATCCGCGTCAGTGATGTCCGGCCAAAATTGATCGGATGAATTTAATTGATAAAACGTAAAGAGGTTTATGACTCAATCGATACAATTAAAATGTTTAGGATCGAATTAACATTAGTGCAATAGCCTTTATAACTTTTTCGGTGAATTTTCCCGCGCTATTTGCTCGGTCCTGACGATATCCATTAGCCATTCGGAATATGCCGATCACAAGAATCGCAACAACCGCATCTTACATGTCAATCCACGTGACGCCCGAAATTCAAAAGCCTCTCGCTCCCAATTGGCCACGCCGCTTCCCCACTGTCGGGTGGGTGCAACCGTCGTCGCGCGGCACACTTGGCTTTCATACACGGGACACTCGGTTTGAATTCCCACCATGCAATTGTTTTTGCCCCGGTCAAAATGCAATCGGAACTTTTATACAAAACAAAATCCCTCCACGATTTCCGCAACATTGAACGAGTCGGAACGACCGAAAAAAAAAGGCAAAACATAGAATAGCAGCGATAATTGACGAGAGAATGCGACGGGACAAGACGAGGCCCCCCCGTGACGTGACCACTTCTGGCACAGGGGCCTCACTGCATAGGTGGGAGGAGGTTTGATGACTCTGCTTTCACCAAATCTCGAAATCATCGACCCACCTACCCTACGAAAGTTACTAAAAAAAAAAGGTTGAAAAAAAATATAAGGGGCAAGAATTTATGAAAAAAGATGAAAAGCATATGCTAACTTTATAAAAAGAGAAAACAAGCATATAATGCCGGATGCAGAAAATTCGTGAATTATTGCGGTAGGGGTAACGGGGGGGGGGGGGGGATGCCGGTCCAAATGAGTCCAAGCACTTTGGGCCACGATCGTGCCAATTATGCCGATTCGCACATTTTTACAACTTGGGAAACACCCATCATGCTCGAGAGAGGGAGAGGAAGAGCTTATGATGAGAGTTGAAAATTGAGTGAAAACCCTTCTCCATCGAATCATTTGTCACTTTGTCACTTGTCGAAATCATATGTCAATCGATCCGCCAATCTGGCCATATCGATGGTCCAAAGATTGCGTCGTCATTCTAGAATATTCCGGCACGACGTGATATGAGATTGTATTTTGTGTACCAATCGACAAAAAAACATCGGATTCAAAATTGAAATGTAAGAGTCGATCGATAAGCACGTCGGACATGTAACACGATTGGTCGGCTACGCCACGTCAATCGCGAAATCGTCGCGTAGAATATTCTTTCCACACGATAGGTCCCCTCCACAACATCACGAACCTAAGATGGGGTCCTGCCCAAACACGAGGTCCCTATTGAAGAAGGCGAATATGGCAATTTCAGACGATTTTATTAAAGTCGGGAAGTGGACAAGAAACTAAGCACCAGTATCTCCCTAATACAGAAAACCATCGTTGTCGGGGCCAAAAAAATAGAATTTGATGCTGGTCCCGTAGTCACAGTCGTGGTTTCAACAAACCCTCCAAAGCGCCACACTTAGCTGTCCACCACCACATCTAGACAGCCTGGTCTGATTAAATTCCTGTACTTTTAATTTATTTGATCGAGTTCTTCTCTGACGCCAAATTCGAATGTCATTTAACTGAACGCGATCGTCAGACGATGCCAGGATATGATGTAAATAAAAAAACTATGTGTAAATGCCAAAGCGGGCATGTGAGGAAAAATTTAGACATCGTAGATAAAGTTGGAGCATGATATGGACAAAATTTAACCAATATGAATGCCCGCGTCCTCGTGAACGGCTGGATTTAGACAAATTTTGGGTCGGAAAGAACCTGATTAGAAAAGATTATGAGAACCGAAAGATTTAGTAGAAAAAACGCGAAAGTTGGGATACAGAAAGTTCGAATTTTTCCCATTAGAAATCATCATTCAATACCAAAAAGCAAACGCTAGACAAATTTGGTGGGGTCTTTGGCTTAGCTGTTCCACCCCTTTGGTTTGCTATCTTGCCGCCATCGAATCTTAACCAATTTGGCCGAGAAAGAGGTTTTTCTTTTTCCCTTCTGTGCTCCTCGCGACGCCATCAATCGAAGACCACAAAAATACTTTCTCGAGCTTGGTCGATACGGTTGACCTACTCAGCTTCAACAAAAGGACCGGGGACTAAGCAGAAATCAAAAAAGGATCCAAAGAAAGACGCCGAAGACCTCCCCAACACACAATCAGCACATGAAACATATGACCACAAGAGTCTGAATTCATCACCAGAAAATGTGGATCACACACGGTCCCGACTTATTTCAGAGCTCCACAAGATCTGCCTCATTCGACATGAAACGGTTCGACAGTCAAGTCCGACATCAAGAAAAACCTGCACATAAATTATACCTCGGCCGTTCAAGTTTAAGCTACATAGGATGATCATCTCTACAGCACATACCGGAACAAAGAAAGAGAGAGAGAGATAAATGAGCAAAGATCTCATAATTAACAGACGACGGGGAACAAAGCAAACCCCCATGAACCATCAATACGACCCCAACTCCTCCATTTACCGTTTTACTTTTGGTTTCTTTCGAGAACTCCCATACCTTCATCTCCCATCTGCCGAAGTGAATGAACTAGCGAACCCAGACGGCCGCGTAGGTATACTCGTTTGGGTGCTCTCGCCGCTCGCTAAATATGAGGAAGAAGATTCGTCGATGTTACTATTTCCCTCATAGGCCTGCCACTTCTTGAGCGCTTGGGGTAAGGTCATATCCAGGTCGATCCCATAAATGTCCTCGGAGTCCGGCTCAGATGGCTTCCAGAGCTCTACAAGCGACGAGAGCACGCTAACCGCGTGACCCATGTCCGGCCTCTGGTAGGGTTCCCTTGCCGAGCAGTGGCCTGCGAGCTCGGCGATTGTGCTTATACTTGCCAGTGTTTCTTCGTCGAGGTCGATGACTGGGTCGATGGCTTTTCGGAATGTGTCCTTGTTGAGGTGCATTCTCCGGAACCATGTCACAAGGTGGACACTGTCCTCAGGCTGGGTTTCATCAAGAGCCCTTCTTCCCGTGATCATCTCCATAAGGATCACTCCGAAGCTGAAGACATCAGCTTTGGTGGTCACCCGTCCAGTCACTGTAAAGTACAGATGTAGGGCCATATCAAGTATTGATGATGAAGCAGTTTTTGCAGGACATTATGAAAATGCAGTATATGATCCCTATTCTACTTATCATTACCAGACATTTCTAATATCACCCCTCACTTATAAGATTCGACAGTAATATTATTCTCTTCAGCGGCAAAACATAGATAAAGTAAGGAGGTTGTCACTTTGACGTTTTGGGAGTAGCAAATTGGCGATATCAGCATTATTCAAATGATTGAGCATTCAGTTGCTCCAAAAAAAGAATTTGCACATGCAGATTAGAATGCTCCTCCATTTATGTAGGATGCTATTCCACTAACTTCAGTCAACTCACAAACTGCCACCTTCAAATGTTCATTAATCAATGATAATCTGCTGATTCTAGAGTGCAACACCAAGTATTGGAAGTTTTGGACCATAAAAGCTTGAAGTGTCACATCATTTGAAACGGGACAAAGGAGTCGGCTGATCCAATCTAAGACACGCCTTAACAATGGCAACATTCATTTGCTAGATAAAAACATTACAGGGCTCGTTTTAGCATTGCACGGGAAGCAAGAAGCAGCCAAGGCAGCCAAGGAAGACTCTCTCTAACCAAAAAAAGAGCTACTGAGAATCAGAGAAAGACTTCAAATCATGCGATCACCTAAGAAAATAAAAATATTTTTGCTCTGATCCTACTGTTCGCGTTAACCTGCGATCAAGTAATCCGCCAGTGTTGAAAATCCAAAAGCTATTAACTGTAAAAACCGACGGAGTTCTAGTTCAAGAAACCAATAATTCAAGAACCAAATAAGGTATCACATCAATCACACTGATCTAGCATGATAGACAAAATAAAGCTCTCCGGATGGGATATCTTCCTTCTAATATGTCAAATAGCCCAAGCGTTTTCTTTCTTCAGTAAGTATACATGCATGCACGCTATGATTTAATTATTTTCTAGCCTGCTTCTGGTCCTAATATTTCTAATAATTCTACACGAAACTCATACTTGACTTTTGACTGACCTAATTATGGTTCCCTAATCATGGCCAAAATCCAAGGAAATCGTCTACATGCTCGAATCCTGGACATTTTTAAGTAGCTTCCTATGGGTTTATAGCCATTTCAAGACATGTTGTCATTTGATCGAGGGTAATCATCTGCGGGGAAAAAGAACAGACAGCACCACAAAGGCAACTTCATGTTTAATGTAATTCAAAGAAGACTTACCGGCATATTCTGGTGCAAGATACCCAAAAGTTCCAGCAAGACGCGTTTCAATCGAGCATTTACCCTCAGGGGCAAGACGTACAAGTCCGAAATCTGACACTTTTGCCCGCATATCATCCCCAAGCAGTATATTTGATGGTTTAAGATCACGATGAATAAAAGTCTGATGAGCTAAACCGTGAAGATATTCGACCCCTCTGGCAACATCCAAGGCAATGCTGAGTCTTCTTGTCCACTCAAGAGGTTTCATTCCATCGTCTTTCCAGTTGAAAAGATGTTTACTGAGAGTCCCCTGAGGCATGTACTCGTAAACAAGAAGCCTCTCATTTCCTTCTAAGCAATACCCAAGCAATGCAACCAAATGCCTGTGCCTGACTTTCGTAAGAACGGCAATCTCAGACTTGAATTCATTCAAGCCCTTCTCTGACATTACACCGGACTCCATCCTCTTGACAGCAATCTTTGTCCCATCATGTAATTCGCCCTTGTAAACAGTCCCGAAACCACCTCTTCCCAATATATTGTCTTGACTAAAGTTGTTCGTTACATTCCTCAACACCTGAATAGAAATGACCATATTCCCAGCTTCAACCACATGAACGTCACCCGTCCCACCACTGCCTTGACTGTAGCTTTCGCTAGAACCACCATTAGCACTCGATCCTGCAACAGTGATCTTCACACCGTTTTGGTCGCCAGAATATCGAGGATGTATTACCATTACATTGTTTGGACTTTGCACTTTACCAGAACTCTTGGGCCTTTTTCTATACCAAATAAACAAACCGAGCAGTGCAATCACAGAAGCACCAGCAGCTAGAGGAACCACAATCCTTGCAATACTGGATTTCTTCTTGTCACCACCCGGTCCCAGGGGAGGTGAATCAGGAGCGCTAGGAGGTACAGCAATGTCTTTACCCATGTTAGGATTACCACTTGTAATTACGTTCACATTGCTCTGAAAACTAGGTACTTTACCAGACAAATTGTTGTTGGAAACGTCCAACACTATGAGATTAGGCAGAGTCGCAAGCTGAACAGGTATTGTACCGGTAAGATTGTTTTTGGACAGTAACAACCTTTGCAGCGATGTAAGCTGAGAATATCGAGGAGAAATAGTTCCAGAAAGACCCATGTTTTGGAAATTAATAACTGTGATGTTGCCCCCAGAACACGTAATCCCTGTCCACGAATTCCCCGAGTCACAAGTATTGTTCCCTTGCCAACCTTGAGCGAACTTAACAGGGTAACCCATTGGTTCAGCAATGGAGAGCAGTATATTAACTTTGGAATCGCAAGGAGCACCCGCAGTGGACGAGCAAAAGCTATTTTGACCCTGCATATCGACCTGAACAGCAGTACCAAAAGCAGGCATCGGTCCCTGGAGCAGATTATTCGTCAGATTCACAACCTTGAGGCTAGGAAGCTTCACCAGGGACTCGGGGACAACGCCAGTCAACTGATTGTCCCTCACACTGAAATCCCACAGATTCTTCAAATTCGAAACGTCGGGTATAGGACCCGTGAACTGGTTGCTGTGCAACCAAACCTGAGCCAACTGGGTCATATTTGCTATCACGTCCATCGTCCCGTTGAGCTTGGAATTCCCACTCTTCCCATTCAGCCAGAGGATCTGAATCGGCAACCCGGCGAAGCTCGCGGGCAACCCGCCCTCCAGGTTATGAAAGGCCAATTGAAGCTCGAACATACTGGGGAAATTCTCCACATTTATGAAATCGGGGATTCGACCGTTCACGTTCGCTCCATTCGCGGTGAAATTTTGAAGGGAGGTGCAATTTCTCAGGCTATCAGGAATTTCCCAAGAAGCGAAGTCATTATAGCTCAGATCAACCACTTGCAAAGCTGACATACCAGAGAAGAAATCCGGAGGAATGGAGCTGAAGTTGTTGTTGTTAAGAAACAACACCTGTTACAAAAAAAGGGCCAACAAAAAAATTGAAAATCACTCACCTTTCGCCTGAAGAATTCTCTAGGCAAGCTCCGGCGAGAAGCCCAGAAGAGAAAAAAGGAAAAAATTCCCACAAAACTCGGTACCTGCAGCTGAGCCAACCCGGCGAAACTCGGCAGGGCGCCGGTGAGTTTGTTCGTCATGACCTCGAATCGCACCAGGGAAGTGAGGTTGCCGAGGACCGGCGGGAGGGTCCCGGTGAGGCCTCGGTTGCCTATCTGGATCCGGGTCACCCGGTTATCAGAGCACGAGACCTGGGTCCACTGGCACGGGTCGGGGTCGGACCAGTCGAGGGAAGAAGGGAGGGCGAGGCTCTTCTTGAGCGCTTGCATTGCGAGGACGTCGTCCTGCTGGGTCTGGGCCGAGGCGGCGGTGAGGAGGAGGAGGAGGAGGAGGCAGCAGCACAGGAAGGCCGGGAGGAGGGCGAGGAGGACCCGGCGACCCATCTGGGGCCTCCGCGGGTTCCGCCGGGAGGCCGGCGGGGGAGCGGCGGGGGACGGAGGCGGAGGCGGAAGGGGGGTCTTTGACGGGGGCCTTCCTAGGGTTCATGCGGGGCGTCCGCCGCGTGGGAGAGGCGCTGCCTCTCCTGACGTTCGACCATGGAAACGGAAACTGCACGCACAGTAGAGAGAGAGAGAGAGAGAGGTGATGTACTGTTGCTTTTGAGAGAGAGGGAGGGAGAGAGGAGAAGAAGTAGCGGCGGCGATTGAGGATGCAGAAAATCAAGAGAGAGAGAGAGAGAGGAAAATGCTTTTGGAGTAAGCGTGGGTTATGATGGAAAGTGAGAGTAAAAGAGGGAAAAACCAAACCTCTCTTTCCTTTTGCTTTTTGGTAAGAAGGGATTGCTCATTGAATGACGACGGCCCCCCCCCCCCCAAAAAACATTTCTACCAAAACCCCTCGAAATAAATACATTCACGATAAATTTACCTTTCGTTAATTTTTATTAAATTAAAATAAATATCATGAAAAATCATAAAATGGTACTCTCGCGACAAACGGGTAGCTATCACGTGCCATTTAGTTCAGCAATCTGATTGTGAAATTTTTCACAAGTGTGCCGATTTGGTATTTAATTTTGGGTAAATTCGTCATGGGTTATTTCAGTTTAGAATTTTTCGTGACATTAATCCTGAACATATTAAGACCGATCTCGGTGTAAAATAAAATAAATTATCTTTTCGTCGTCGTCATCGTGGTGATTTGAAATTTAGCTACTCCTTCCTCGTGCCAGATCTCCCGTAATAAGGCATGTAAATTACTTCTCGCGCCAAATGAGTTAACTTATTAGTAAGTACCCCGATTCTTAAATCCATATTTACGTCCCCGCGTGCTTTCCTTTTCTCTAATTTTCGTTTTTTTTTTCCGCCTCTCAGAAAAGGACAAAATTTTGACCGCGCTCTTGTGTGTGTGTGGGGGTAGGGGTAACGCGACAGCTTGCACATGCGCGTGGGGCCCGCGGGGACTTTTAAATCGGGAAATCAAATATTAGGTGCGACTTAGGACCAAAATGCCGGACACGTAAAGGGACCGTGTAAGAATTTAAGGAGGCGATGTACAGTTGTAATCAACCGGAGGAGATTATGGCCTGCATTTAGATTATTTAATGCCCTGTTCTTCGCGACGTGGAATGTGGTTAGATTTGACTAATCGAGCATGATATTGACCAGGATCGCTTGCGTTACTGCTAAAGATCTTTTGATACCCTAAACTAGGAAGTGCATCACATGCGAGCTCGCGTGGGGGGAGGAAACGAAGTGAAATCGCGTGGAGAGACATGGATCGCTTGAAAAGCTCGTATGGGCATGTGGGATATCCGCGCGCATTTTGCGTGTGGATACCCATTAAACGAGTGGGCCGGATCGAATTTAGGTTGGTCGGAAATGGTCCGACCTAAATCGATCAACTTAACCCGTTTTTAACCCGTTTTTATACAATGCAAATTCATCGATCCATTCCCGACCGAAGACAATATCCGACCCGACCCATATTACTAAAACAATTCCTTACCGAGGTAGGAGCGTGCAGTGAGCGAGATCGAGCAAGGGCGAGAGAGAATAAAGAGAGAATCATAGAGGTGAATTGGGTCGAAGTACATTGTGAACTCATTTAACATCCGTATTATTTTGAGATTTACCATTTTAAATCAATTTACAACCCATTTACTGAATAAAATTAATGCATATAATAACTCAACCCATCAAATATAGATTAAGAAATGCGCCTATGACTCATTTTGACGGGTTCATGTGTGTGCAAGAAATTAAAAAGTTGAAAACTTAAGAAAAAAAAAATCACTTTTATTCCATGAAGTGTTGTACCGTGAAATGCTAACAAGAAATCATCGACGAAACCTCAAAATTGCATTATTAATTTAATGCGCGTGCCATCGCGTGAAGTATTTAAAGGGTGAAAAAAGACAAATTTCCGAAAAAGACACGAGGAAAATCGACGCAAAGCTGGCGGTGCGTCATTTAACTTGGAAGTTACCCCTTTTTTTAATATTAATCTTTCTTTTACCAATAATAATTTTCCAGATTAGTTTAATCGCGACACCAGATAACAAATTATACGTGTTAACAAACAAGCAGATGACAGTTTCTCGAATGGAAGCATCTGCAGGTGGCGGGGGGGCCCACAGACGACCCGTGACCCAGACCCGAAAAAATCCAAAGATCCGCTCGTCCTTTTCCGTCATTCGGACAATTTAAAAAAAAGAAACCGAAAAACATAAATAAAAATAAAATAAAATATTCGTCTCTCCAGGACATTCCGGTCCCACGTGGCGATGCGAGCGCGCACCTTCCCGAACATAATCATCTTCTTATGTTAATCTAATCGAAACCCTCCCCCTTAATCTTAAATCTAATTTCCGTTTGTCACGACCCGCGTTGAATATATGCCCTCCTCCTTCCGGTATGTCTGGCCACCTCCTTCGTCCCTAACAACCCGCATTCATCGTTATCCAAACTCCAAACCGAACCGAACCGAGCCGAGTTGAGCCGAGTTGCATGGCATTACTGCGCTAATCAGAAATTAACAGTCGTCGGGCCCCACGTGATATTAATTCCTGACGTCATAAATAGGATTAGTTGGGTTAATGTGATGATGTAGGCCGAGCCCGGCCCTATGCTGAGGATTCTGCCGGCCTCGGCTATTTAAGCTTTAGGTCCTAATCGGGTCCACAGGAAGAGGAACTTTCACAATAAGGCCCATTATGGAGTAGGGGGTTTCCCTTAGGCCATGTGGAAAAAAACGTGCATAAGATGGCAACTGCAATATGGTTACAAGCTCTCGTGTTTCACCTACCCAATGTGATATGGAATCGATCTTTACATTGTCGGCGACGCGAAAAAGTTCCATGCCCTGCGCGTGGAGTTGTGGTGGGAAGGATATGCTGGATTACCCGCTTTTTTTTTTAGTTTAGAAATGTAAAACGACTCGACTTTGAGACATTGAAATGAGATGAGGACATGAAAGGCTTGAGGATCAAGATTGGGGTAGTACAGACACGCCCTAGCGAACAATTAAGTTAATTTGGGTCTCTCATAATGTTATCCATTTGACTTGTACCCCACAAAAAATAGTGCTTTTCCGGACAGTGTATTTCAACACTTCTTGATCTGTGACGAGGAATAAAACATTTTTTTGACACCTGTTTTAAAACTAGAGGTGATCAATAGGTGGGTTTACAAGGTCACTTAGGTCGGGCCTAAAGTGTTGTCCAAGCCTACCCATAATAAAAGTTTTATACTCGATATAATCGAGCCGCAAAAAGGTGCCATTTGGACCGATATGGCTCCAGCGGGCCCATGGGCTGTCAAGCCCATAATCGTGTGCATTTGAAACTCAATTAAGTATTCATGAATGAACAAACACATTGCACTGTAATCCATGCAGCCCTACTCGATGCATCTTCATTTGGCATGGGAATTTTCCCATCCATAAGTCCTAATTTAGTCTTCACATGAAGCGCCAATAGTCATAGCTCCGATCCAAGCTGAAGAGTTCCCTTGACCAATCAAGGTTGAGAGACTAAACTCATACCGTTATTTATCGGTGGATGAATATACAATGGATCATTTGTATCCATCACCATTAGGTCATGTAAGGTCTGACTTCTTGATCGGTTATTTATCACATTGGATTGATCGGAAGCCACGGAGGATCAACAAAAGACAATGAAACAAGATTGTAAATAATGTGGTGAAATGATCTTATGCTCTGATATCAAATAAATTTTGCAATAAGGTCAAAATTCTTAGTGTGAAAGCTTAACTTATCATTGATTCTCCTACACATACAAGTTTACAAGAGATGTGATATACTATTAGAACATTCAAAATTCAAATCCCAGTATTTAAAGTAGAAGTTGGGAATATCAAATATCCCATACAATCACACAATCTTGATTGTGAATATAAGAAAGCTTTATAAGACACCTCATCTTCTTTTTATATGGGTATTCGTATCTTTAACATCTCCTTGTTTCACTTAATTGGACGTGAACCGATGCATCTTTAGATCCAATATAGTAGATACGAATTCACTCATCGAATCTTGTTTTGAGACACGAAAAACGTTGTGATATCTGCCCGGCATACGAGGTTTCGATATCTTTTCGTTGAAGCAGCATGATATTGTCCTGGGATGCTTTATATATATAGAAAAGTTGCCATTGGAAATGGTAGATCCAAGGACAGAGAGTAAATAAAGCACTCATTTTATACCTTACACAATAACGTTTACAAGTCTTATTCATAGAGACATCATCTCAGACAGTTTCGAGACGCTGAGTTCACGTTTGATGAGACAACATAACATAAAAAGCCATGCAAAAGCTAGAATCGACATTTCTAGCCGTCTTTATTGCAGGGTGGTTGTTGTCTTCATAGATCTTCATGGAACCCTGCGTGAAGAATCGAAGGAGCATTAGCAAAAAGACTCATGGGCAAATAATTATATGCACAGAAACTAGAAAGTAAACGAACGTTGCGTGGAAAACAATCATGTAAACTCGTATCGCTCCAGAAGCACATTGGTTGTCCACAGAAAGCACCGCATGCGTAAATCATTCCATCTTTAATTCACCAAGAGTCCCTTTCCAAAACCTCTCCGACGAACAGACAATCCGTTTCCTCGAGCATGACGATTGATTTAGCAAATTAAAAGTTGTTCTCGACTGTCAAGAGATTTTATCCTTTACGTACTGAAAATAGGTGACTTCCACATTGCCGGCATCTGGGTTGGCGATGGTTGCGAAAGCTTCTTTCGAGAGGTCGATGGTAGCGGCACACCCGGGCGGCGGGCAATAGTCGACGATCTTCACCCTGACCGTCCCGCTCGTGCACGGGTTAGGAGTACCCGGGACGGCGGCGCTGGTGCACGTTACGTTGTAACTTCTTCCGCAGGCGGCCCCGCCTTACCAGAACACGTTGCTGGCTGCGGCTATCATCACGCCCTGAGGCTGGTATCCATAACATGCGGAAGCTGTAAGACCAAAGAATTTGACGATGTAATTGATTAGCCAAAAAATAAGGATCAGCTCGACAACTTTCATTAGACACCTCAGAGAGTCCAAGTTGAAAATGCCTTATTTTCATACTGCGATCTTGTCAGGCTAAGAGTCATCTTGTCTTTCGGAGTATTGTCTGTAACGTTTTCCTAATGTGGGTTACATTAATTGAGATTGTTATTACCTGCTTACGGGTCTGGTCTAATAAGGTTGGATATAAGGTTTCTTAATTGGTCGGATATGGGCCCAGCTTGTGTGGGCCGAGTTCGGCCCGGCCCGTTATGAGAGGGCCTGGCTGGAAACTCTATAAATAGAGCTGCAGGTCCCTCCTCTGCACCCAACTCTCTCCAATTTCTCTCAAATGCTCTCAAACTCACCTAAGGCTTCTGTGAGCTAGCTGAGGCGGTCTCATAGCGCCGGGACTTCGAGGGTGACAGGGGAGAAGACCTACGGCACTGGTTCATCGTCATTTCCGCATCCAGGACGATGGAACCCAAATCAGATGCACAAATTCTATCCATCCTTTTACCGTACCGTTAATATCTCGCTATGGTGATCCTAGGGCGTTCGGCCGAGCCATACGGGTCGGCCAACATGTGGTATCAGAGCCGCCATAGTTGAGAAACGGGCCGGTACTGTTCATATGTGTTTTTATTTTTTTCATCCGTTGAATGTTAGAATAAATTACATAGATGGATAGATCGTCGCGAGATGAGTAAAATGAGTGGTCGCCGGTCACCGGGGGCCGCCGGAGGTGGCCGCACGCGCCCCCACGCGCCCCCACGCGCCAGGGCGTCGGAGAGCCCCGGCGGCACACGCGCGGCCACGCGCGGGTGTTCCCAGCGCGTGCAACGCACGTGCTAGGGTTTCCGCGAGCCGGGTCGATCCGGCTGACCCGACCCGACTTCGGACCCGACCCGTTGACCCGACCCCTGGATTGACCCGACCCGGACCTGACCTATTGACCGAACTGGTCAACCGATCGGATTGGTAAGCAGTCAGACCGGTTTGCGGTATGACCGGTCGGACCGGCCTTTTTGGCCGGCTTAAGCGCCGGCGCGTGAAGCCCACGCGCCGCCCCTTCAGGAGGCGCGTGAGGGCGCTTCCAATCTCCGATTGGAGCGTGCAAGGTACCGGCGTGCTCGTATAAGAATTATCTACAATGTGGTATATTTATTTTACATGTTTGATACTTTTAAGGATGTGAAAATACATATGGAACCCTATATGCGCGTATTTTTAGGGTATATTTTCGTATTTTCCTGTATTTCTCTATGGTTTAAGAGATACAGATTAAAGCTTACATGTATATGATGACATAAGGACATGTAGATCATGTTTCATTGATAGTATGTATAAGGTTCAACATATATCAATGTATAGAGCAATGTAATTAGCATGGTATGTAATTTTAGAGACATTGCCCATGTCTTCTAGTCTAGAATTACATATTTATAGTATATGTGAGACATAAAGTTTATGCCTTAGTATGAGAGAGTTTCAATTATTCAATTTGGTAGTGACCGCCAAAGTGGCACATTTGATTGAGTTTGAGAAATATCAGTCTCATATTGTTAGGATGTCTCATGTTCTAATGTGTTGTCATACTCCCAAAGGAGGTGATTATGTATTGGTTCATGGAGGGATGCATGTACAGCATGCGTGAGGAATGACTGATCCTAGTGGTTCATACACCCAAAGGTGGTGAATTCATAAAAGATTGGAATACATTCTCATGGCCGTTGTTATGTAGAGGGTATACAATTGCATGTCATGTATTCTGCCCAAAGGTGATTATATGATGATGTGTGTAACTCTCAGGAAAGTACTCACATGATACTGATTATAGACATTGCTTGTTTTTTAACAGTCACCTTCTCCATAAACGGCAACTCCATAAGTATTGAGGTTCTTACTGGTTCAAACTTTAAGAAATGAAAAGAGGATTTTCTATTTGGTATGGAACTGGCAAATATTCATATTGCTCTCACTGAGGATAAGCCAGCAGATGTCACTGCTGATAGTACGGATATGGAAAAAGCACTGAGTGCCGCCTGGGCAAAGAGCAATAGGATTTGCTTGTTACTGATGAAGCGATCCATTAAGGACCATTTGAAGAGTAGTTTGCCAGCTGACTGCACTGCTAAAGAAATGACGGAAACCTTGCAAGCAAGGAACCGTGACTCGTCTAATGCTGAGGCTGGGACATACATGCAGTTACTCAGTAATATGAGTTATGATGGTTCAAGTGGGGTTAGGGATTACGTCCTTAGGATGGTAGACCTACAGACGAAACTAAAGGTTCATGAGATTATCCTTTCTGATGCTTTCATTGTGCATCAAGCCCTGAACACACTTCCTGTTGAGTATGGAATTATAAAGACCAACTATAATTCCCAAGATGAAAAGTGGTCGGTCAATGACATGATAGTTAGGGTAGTGGCAAAGGAAGAGAAACTGAAGAAAGATAAAGGGAATCTTGCTTTCTATGCCTCTAGTTCCAGTAGCAGGAAGAGTAGTAAGTTCAAGAATCGTACTCAGAAAGGAACTCCTAAAACCACCGGTCATTTAGATAATCTGGGTCCTGAGAAAACACCTTTGAAGAAGAATGGTGTTCACTGCTACTTTTGTAGGAGGAAGGGTCACACGAAGAAAGACTGCAATAGATATAAAACTTGGTTGTCCAAGCGTGAGTAGTCAGGTATTGATTCTTTGGCACTTGTTTGTGAATCCAACCTATTAGAAGCCCCATCCAGTTCTTGGTGGCTAGTTAGCGGTGCAACTAATCATGTTGCGTATACCATACAGGGATTCACAAACAGAAGGAAGCCAAATCAGGATGAATTAAAGCTCACTGTAGGAAACAACAAGAGAGTCGACGTCGAGTTCGTGGGAGATGTCATATTAATTTTGGATTCTGGTTTTAATATGATGTTAAGAAACACCTTTTATGTACCTTCCTTCAGATGGAACTTAGTTTCCGTATCAAGTTTGGATGTTTGTGGTTACTCTTTTGAAATAAAGAACAATATGGTTTTTATGTTCTTTGATTCAAATAAGGTTGGGTGCTGCAACATATCGAATGGATTGTACAGATTGTGTTTATCTCCCAATGATATATACGTCGCTTATATAGCTGAAAGGGTTGTTTCCAAAAGACCTTTACCTAAGGAACTGTCTTATGCATTGTGGAATAAACGACTTGGTCACATCTCTAAGGAAAGAGTGGAAAGGCTGATAAAGACAAACATCTTGCCTACTCTTGAAAGTGACCTAGATACTTGCGTAGATTGTTGTAGGGGTAAGATGACCAAGATAAAGAAGAAAACCGCAGTCCGTAGTTCTGACCTGTTGGAGGTCATTCATACTGACATCAATGGACCCTATACGGCAACATTGTGTAGAAATTTCTATTTCATCACATTTACAGACGACTGTTCCCGATATGGTTATCTGTTCTTGATTAAGGAGAAGTCTGAGTCTCTTGATAAGTTCAAGATTTTTCGGACTGAAGTCGAGAAACAGCTGGGAAAAGTCATAAAGATTGTCAGATCTTATCGAGGTGGTGAATATTATGGCAGGCATGGCGATGCTGGACAGCTGAAAGGGCCATTTGCCAAATACTTGGAGGATTCTGGAATAGTTGCTCAATTTACTATGCCCGGGAGTCCTGAACAAAATGGTGTGGCCGAAAGGCGAAATCGCACCCTGATGTGGACATCGAACCCTATCGAGGAGGAGGTGCTAGGGACCTGTTGTTCTATCCGCTAGGCCCGATCACTCGAGCGAGAGCGAAGGAATTCAAACAAGCTGTCGGCATCATGGTTCAAGATATTTGGAATGGAGACAATCTGGATTCGAAACTTGAAGATTATGAAGCTCCTTGGCGCAACATGATTACTCTTGGTCCAGCGAATTCCGAAGGAGCTTAGAATTGACAAACTCCGAATTGGCTCAAATTTGGATGGACGCTTGGAAACGGGCCGCTGATCAATACACACTACTTTAGTAGTGAATGATGACGTTTTTTAGCGATTTGAAATCGTTTAGATGAACTTTTAGGCCTTTTTCCATTTTTGGACGAATTTTTAGTAATTAAGGTTATTTTTGTAATTTTAAGCCTAGTAGGATTAGGATTAGGGTTAGCACCCTATATAAGGTTGCTTATAGATTTCTAAGAGGGGGCAGAATTTTATATAGAGGAATTTTCTTCTTGAGTTCTCTTGAGGACTAGATCTTATCAAGGCTCCTTTGTGGCGATCGAATTCAACTTATCGAGCAAGATCGCGAATTCTCTTGTTCGTGGCGTTATAGCGTGGATTGGTTGACACAGGTTCGTCAACAGGTCGCGTTCATACCGAGATTACCAATCACAGGTTCGATTGGGGGTCGAGGTCAACAATTCGTAACTCACAGATCTTCGTAGAACGATCATCTTCCGCACAGATTCATATCACACCCTTATGGACATGATGAGGAGTATGATTAGCAGGACGAACTTACATAATTTTCTATGGGGTGAAGCCTTGAGAACAGCTCTCTACATTCTAAATCGTGTTCCTACCAAGGCTATTCCAAAGACTCCTTTTGAATTATGGACTGGACGTAAACCTAGCCTAAATCATCTTAAAGTTTGGGGGTGTCCTTCAAAAGTAAGGTTATACAATCCAACATTGAGCAAGTTGGAATCCAAAACCACTCGATGTTACTTTATATCTTACCCAGATCATTCGAAAGGGTATCGGTTCTATAATCCCCATGGAGGCACAAGAATTGTGGAATCACAGACAGCGAAGTTTCTGGAATTTGATGTGGCCGAAGAAGGTAGTTGCTCTCAGACTATTGAGGATAATGATATGGTAGGTACTAGTGTGTCTTTCTCTCTACCTATACAGATGATAATGGAGACCTCTACACCAGAGACTGAGCCTGTTGTGGTCCAAGATCCTGTTATTGAAACAGCTCCTGATGAAGTACTTTAAGCCCCTCAGGTGCAGGATGAGGTTGTAATAGCTCCACTAAGGAGATCTATCAGGCAGAGACGATCGGTTATACCACCAGATTATATGGTCTATCTGGGAGAGCATGACTACGATATAGGCTGCGTGGTTGATCTAGTAACTCATTCAAATGCTATTTCTTGTCCTCAATCAGATATGTGGGTGGATGCAATGAAAGACGAGATACAGTCTATGAAATATAATGGTGTTTGGGAGCTTGTTGAATTGCCTAAAGGTTACAAGTCCATCGGTTGCAAATGGGTATATAAGACTAAAAGAGACTCCAAAGGAAAGATTGAGAAGTTCAAAGCCAGACTGGTAGCCAAAGGTTTCACTCAGAAAGAAAGAGTAGACTATGAGGCAACTTTTTCTCCAGTCTCTTCTAAAGATTCTTTCAGAGTGATTATGGCATTAGTAGCTCATTTTGACATGGAATTACACCAGATGGATGTTAAGAATGCCTTTCTGAATGGAGACCTTGATGAGGAAGTCTATATGGTGCAACCCGAAGGTTTTGCAGTTGATGATTCGGGTGAGCTTGTGTGTAGATTGAAGAAGTCTATTTATGGCCTTAAGCAAGCTTCTAGACAATGGTATTTGAAGTTTCATAGTGTTGTCACTTCATTCGGTTTTTGTTGAGAACAGGTTGGATCAGTGTATATACAGCAAGGTCAGTGGGAGGAAATTTATTTTTCTCATACTCTATGTAGATGACATCTTGCTTGCAAGTAGTGATATTGGTTTACTACATGAGACAAAGCGAATGTTGTCGAAGAATTTTGACATGAAGGACCTTGATGAGGCGTCTTTTGTCCTAGGCATTGAGATCCATAGGGATCGTTCTCGCCGAGTATTGGGTTTGTCTCAGAGGACATATGTTGATTGTATTCTAGAAAGATTTAGTATGCAGCACTGCAGGCCAGGAATTGCTCCTGTCGTAAAGGGTGATAAACTGAGTCTGTCACAGTGTCCTCATACAGATGTTGAGAAAACCCAAATAAAGGATATACCTTATGCTAGTGCACTTGGAAGTATCATGTATGCTAAAGTTTGCACTAGACCAGACATTGCTTTTGCAATAGGACTTCTAGGTAGATATCAGTCAAATCCAAGACACGATCACTGGGTTGCTACCAAGAAGGTTTTGAGGTACTTAAAGAGGACAAAAGACTATATGCTGATCTACAGACATGTTCAAGACCTACAGCTGGTAGGGTATTCGGATTCAGACTTTGCTGGCTGTCAGGATGAAAAAAAGTCGACAACGGGTTACGTCTTTAAGTTAGCAGGAGGTACAGTATCATGGAAAAGTGAGAAACAGAAATCAATGACATCCTCTACCATGTAAGCAGAGTTTGTAGCATGCTTTTCGGCCGCTACTCAGGCAATTTGGCTCCGGAACCTCATTAGGGAGTTGACCGTTTTTTATTTTGTGGATCGGCCCATACAGTTGTATTGTGACAATAACTCTGCAGTGTTGTTTGTTAATAACAACAGAGGTCTCAAGGGGTCTAAGCATATGGAGGTCAAGTACTTGACCATAAAGGAAAAAGTCAGGGATGGTGACATTACAGTAGAGCACATTTCCACAGATGATATGCTAGCAGATCCACTAACTAAAGGCCTTCGCCCCTGTATTTTTGAAAGACATGTCGTTAGCATGGGTTTAGGAGTATCATGAGATACTATTGTTTAGTGGGAGCTGCTTTTATTTATGCTCTAATAAAGTTTACATCTGTATTTTGTTACTCTTTGTAACATTTTGGATGTGTATCAACTCATTTACATTCAATAAGGTGTTTCTAAATGCATTGTTGTCATGTTAAATACACATATAAGGTGAAAATCTTAAGGTACCGTGTAAACCTTGAGTAAAGGCTATGGGCATTCAGTTATTAGTCTTAAGGATATGTCTTATTACACATAAAGTAATGTAAACAATAAGGATAAGACATATGTAGGTTCATTGGAACCATAAAGATATTCTCTAGTAACACATCAGGTTTTTGTGACACTTAAGGAAAGAGAATGAGGACTGACAAAGGGGATGACACATGAGGTATCACTCTTTATGAGGTGTCATCTGTTTGCCACACAACCATATCGAATCCATATCAGTAAAGTCTAAGACACTTATGACCATGGAAGGCTCTGCGTGATTACATGCAGTTACCGCCATGATTCGGTGTTTGAAACTTTATGGGATCGGATTGACTATTAAGAATTATCCATAGACCAAATAAAACAGCACATAAGGTACGATTTCAATTAATATAGCCCAAGTGGGAGAATGTAACGTTTTTCTAATGTGGGTTACATTAATTGAGATTGTTATTACCCGCTTACGAGTCTGATCTAATAAGGTTGGATATAAGGTTTCTTAATTAGTCGGATATGGGCCCTGCTTGTGTGGGCCGAGTTCGGCCCGGCCCGTTATGAGAGGGCCTGGCTGGAAACTCTATAAATAGAGCTGCAGGTCCCTCCTATGCACCCAACACTCTCCAATCTCTCTCAAACGCTCTCAAACTCACCTAAGGCTTCCGTGAGCTAGCTGAGGCGGTCTCATAGCGCCGGGACTTCGAGGGTGACAGGGGAGAAGACCTACGGCACCGGTTCATCGTCATTTCCGCATCCAGGACGATGGAACCCAAATCAAGTGCACAAATTCTATCTATCCTTTTACCGTACTGTTAATATCTCGCTATGGTGATCCTAGGGCGCTCGGCCGAGCCATACGGGCCGGCCAACATTGTCATCAAAGGGATTTGAATGTCGAACCACGGGCGTCCCAAGAAGAAGAGCAGAGCAAACAAAGCATGCCCAAAAGTAAACCAACCCCTTGGACTGCTACAAAAAACATCATTGGATTTCAAAGTAACACGATCTAATTCAAAAATTTGACCCGGTCGAGTGGTGACTGGTGAGGTCGGGAGAGGCCTGTAGCCTCGTCTCTCTCAAGATCGTGATTTTTCATAACTTTTTTTTTTATTCCGGGCGCACGATTATTTGGACAAGCGCTATGACATGGCACTAATGTGGTTTGCAATGTCAATATTTCCAGTCCTATGCATATGACGAAAGGACTGACTTGCATAAAAAAAAGTATTGAATCTGAGGACCCGATTGGGAAAAAAAAAATTAAGTACGTTATCGAATGAGTAATAAATTCAGACTTCGCGATACCTTTGTTCCTATAAATATTCGGATGCGACATGCGCTTATATCATCATTTCGATGAGAAACCCACTTAAGAAATTCTCGAGCCAACGGATTATACTATTTAAGGTCATAGACAAATATAAGACGCGGGCTGAAAACTCGGAGAACGACTCGAACATATGTTCATAAGTTAGTGGAATTGAAAAATTAGATACGTTTTTCGAGCCTAAATCATACTCAAACGCCCCTAACTTTAATCCCTAACTCCATCACAACTCTATGCAGAAACATCTTGCAATGATGCACAAGAGGAACTTACAAACGTATGTCTCGTAATACGTTGCGGTGCCCGAAGCAGCTCGAGTTGCCATTGGCATGCAGCAAAACATAAGCGCAAATAAGGTTAGGACAGAGGTATTGTAATTAGCTGCCATCATTGCTCTAATCCCTCGCTACTCTCTCTCTCTCTCTCTGAGAAATCTTGCACCATCCTACTAGGGTATTTATATCCGAGCTCCACATTAAAAAAATATATGTCTCTTTTCTTTTTTTTCCCATCTTTGTCTTTACTTCGGTTGTAAAGACAAATTTCCTATTTCGCTATCAAATTCAATGATTTCACTCGTTTTTGCTACAAAAGAAAAATTCGCAAACCATATCGGTGTCGGTCCAAATGGTCACATATATTAATGATGGTGGAATTTATTTTTAATCTATGTTGATGTTATTCCTTTTCCAAATACGTGGTGCAAATATTACTCCCTTTTTTCAACGTCATAAAGAGATTTGAATTGTTAAAGTTGCCGCAATAAATTTTAGCGTCATCATGTCTGCGTAAGCGTTATTCCACACAATGAGCAAAGAACTAGGAGTTCCCCAAAGCTTGGTGGAGTAATGGTAGTTTTTACATTGTTAGGTTGAGAATTTAAAGGTGAGAGAATGGAATAGTCACAGAAGCATAGATATTAATAAATTTGGCAATAATTGTTAAACAAGTTTGTACGAACTCATTATAGATTATTCTCATCAAGAATCTTTTTGATTGTTCTAAAGATTTCACTCCTATGAAAGTTAGCAACATTGCTTTGTTCTCTTCTGTTGTTGGAGGCTGACACTTTCCTTCGGTTGATCTTTCTCTTTCGCCTCTACTCGAAGACATGAGTTAACTAAGGGAAATGGACACGAAAGACTTGAAGAACAAGACTAGTTACAAAGGCGCAACCAAGTGAACAGGACTCCCTCCCATATGTTATCCTCGACTTTTCTAGCTCATGTTGGTGTGGAGCTCTCCTCTTCCACACACATCATCTATCCACATTTTACTCGTGATTGGCTCCATCAGTTCTCATTCTATCCCATGTCCATCGTCATAAAGCCATCGTCATAAAGCCCCAAGAAATTTCAACGCAACCAGAGAATAATTTGCTCTGCTAGATGGAATACTCGCTCGGAAAGTTCACTATCCTATTTATCGACATGGCCTCATCGGTTTCGTGATGCTGATTTCCAATTCGATGAGCAACCATATTACTAACTAAATATTGCGATGAAATAACATAATATGCTCTGATGCCATATAAATTTTCCAACAAGGTCAAAATTCCCTGTGAAAGCTTAGATTATCGTTGGGTCTCCTATATGTACAAGTTTACAAGAGATGTGATATAGAAACGTGCAAATAAAACTAAAACATTCAAACTTCAAACTAAACATCTCCCACTATTAAGGGAAAAATTGTCCAAAAAGTCCTAAACCTATTGTACAACGACTAATTCAGTCTTAAATTTTTCAATTTTGCCAATTTAGTTATTTTGGGCAATTTTTCCCGGAAAATGCTTACATGGATACCCACTTAGCGCCGGCCGTCCTACATGGCCAGACTGGCGGATGGTCGGCGCTGAAGTGGACGCCAGAGATCAAAACAGTGCTGTTTTCCCAGATAAAAAAAAAAAGAGAGAGCCCCTAACGTTAAAAAATCCCTCAATGTCGCTCCAACACAAATAACCCTAGCCAAGCCTGAGTCGAACGATTTGCGTGTTTTCAGATTTGGGTTTTTTGAGTTAAATAAATCTCAGTTAGGGTTATTCAAATTTGCCTTTTTTCTCGGTTAGGGATTCGAATGATTTCGCTTAAGCCCAAGTTGTTCTTTCATCAAATCGGCTCCCCCATTCATCCCTACACCTTTACCCGTCCCAATCCTAGTCGTGACCCGATTCGATCTCGAGATTCTGCAACGAACATGACCAAGTGTGTGGTCCTAATTTGCTTGTGTTGTCGGCACTCAGCGAACGTGACATAAAGGTATGTTGTCCTGGTCTCGAATGCGATGAAAAGATTCGTTGTCTTCATGTGTGTTTTTAGAATCTTCTTACATCATTATACCTTTAGGGTTTGAATTTTCCAACAGAAGTTCAAGGACGAAAATGTTGGAAAATTTTCGTCTTTGAACTTCTATTCATATATGAGCGCTTTAAGGACAGTTGTTCGCATTTGCTATTCTTTTTTCTAGGAAACATTTTGCCGGTGCTATCAGCATCGTAAAAGGGGGTCACATGGCTTGAATTTCTCATTTTCCATTATTGTACTCAACACTTCTATGTTGGGAAGCCTGAAAGATGGCTTTTTTATCGAAAATTTTGATCCATGAACAATGGTTTATGTGAACGTGTGAGAATTTACTAAGTCATTTCGAAGCTCTAAAGTCCTTTGAGTGAGACTCAAGATATTTAGCAAAAAAGAACTTAAGATGTTCTACAAATCTCACGTTCACATGATAATTAAACTACATCATATCCGTTTAAATTGTGAATTTCATGAACCCTCTCCACGCTATAACCTGTCACTTATTACTTACAATTTTCAATAAAATTAAAGAAATTGCAGGTATACACGCACAAAAGAATAACCAATACTTTAAGGATGTCACTGAGAGGTTTAAATATTTGGTCATAAAAGAGTTTTTAATTATACTATTAATACAGAATGTCTGTGGCAAATTGTCTTCATGTGTGTTATTATGTTCACCCTTCGTTACGTGTCTGCGTAGTATATATGTTGTCTTTTTGTATACGGTAGAGATGAGGACAAGTTAGTCATTGGTTTGCCTTTTCCATGGTGAAAGATTAGTCTAATGCCCAAAGCTTGAATATGTTGGGGGGAAGATGGATTTAATACACATAGATAATAGCTCAATGAGTTATGAAAGGTTCATCACAAACATCGAGAATGAGATAAATGGTAAATTTGAAAAGCTTTATTTTAAGTTTACTGGGAAGTATCCAAAAAATGGTTTAAAATACATATTTAATGATAGCACCGTTGTCGATCTACTTTTCTATGCATTATGGAGAATATTTTGCCGATTAGGTAGGTGAATGTGCCAGACAGGGTATTGGTCAGGGTAAGGGCATTAGTGAGGGTGCCGGCGAGGGTGCTAGTTTAGATTATGGTTCAAGATGATGAGGGTGTTGGTTAGGGTGAGGAAATTTATTCAAACAACGAACACTCAGACTTACTAGTCGATGCAAAGTTCTTGATTGATGATGAGGATAAGGATGATGAGGACCTTGTAGAAGGAAGGAAGAACATTAGGGAATTCCACAGGAAGGCCACAAATGGTTAGATTATAGCAAAATTACTCATGGAAGTTGTATGAATATCCCAGCAATCTGTAGGAGAATCATCTAATCCCCAATAATTTGATCAGGTTATTGCTGAAGCTGGTTACCAGACGTCCTGAAAGAGATAGAGATAAGAGTTTGGATTCTGATGTAGAGCGGGAAGATGACGATATGACAAGAAGGAGAAGCATGTTTTTAAGGTATGGTCCTGACTACGCAGTTCATGTTTTTACTACGTCTATGAAGTTTTATGATGGTAGGAAATTTAAAAAATGCTCTCATAGAGTATTGAGTGACTGAGCGTAGAGAGATAAAATTTATTAAGAATGAAAAGAAATTTGCCAAAGCTAAATGCGTTGATGAAAATTGTCCTTTGAAGATTTTTGCATCTTTTGATGTTTGAACTGGATTATTTCATGTGAAGACCCACCACAAAGAACATACATGTAGCTTTAACTTCAATAATAAAAGGGTCACCAGTTTTTCGTTGGTAAAGAACTATCTCGGTACAATTAAAGCAATGCCAATTATGAAACCATTGCTTTGAAGGAGCTTATCAAGGATCAATTGGGTTTAAACGTAAGTATGAATCAGTGTACTAAGGTTAAGCTGCTTGCCTTTATAGTTGTGGAATTATCTTAGGGAAACAAATCTTGGAAAACTGTTACATTGAAAGTTTAAAAGCCCAACATGCACTCAAATGCATTGTTTGAGAGATTGTACATCTGTTTTACTGCATGCAAAAAAGGCTTCTTTGGTGGATGTAGGAAAGTTGTAAGGTTAGATACTTGCTTTTTAAGGAGAATTTGTAAAAAGAGATCTTATGTGCTGTTGGAAGAGATGCAAACGATCATATGTTCTTAATATCATGGCAATTGTCAGAGTTGAGAGAGAAGACACTTGGACTTGGTTCTTGACAAATTTGATGTGGGACCTCAACATTATAAACACATATGAACGAGGTTGGGTCATAATTAGTAACAAGCAAAAGTTAAGTCTTTATTTCTTTTTTTATTGTTATGCCTCTTAAATGATCACACTTGTATTGTGTTGTTTTCATTGGAATCATATTTTGTAGGGCCTTCTACAAGCCGTGGCTGAGTTATTCATGCAATTGAGTATAGAATGTGTGCTAGACATACCTATGCTGATTGGGGCAAGAAGTACAAGAAGATACATATGCAAAGACTGTTTTGGCAATGTGCTAAGAACATACTATGGTAAAGTATGATAAACACGCTCGAGCACTGAAGAAAATCAATCCTGTTGCGTATTATGACTTGGTTCAAACACAGCCAAAGCACTAGTTCAGGGCTTTTTTCACCACTGAGGTCAAATATAACAACTTATATGAGGCATTCAACAGAAGAATCATAGGTGTTAGGTGTAAATCCATTTATAGTATGTTGGAAGAGATGAGGATAATGATAATGACAAGGATGTATACACAAAAGGATGCATGTGCTTGATGGAGGAGGTACTGTAGTTCCAGAATCGTAAAAAGGTTGGAAGAAAATAAACTTTGTTCGACTAACTGCCAAGTGATATAGAATGGTGATACTAGATATGAGGTGATGGATGTGTTCAAGAGAGATTGTATTTACAGGAGGTGGCAGCTTACAGGAATCCCTTACCCCATGCCATTTCTTCTTTAAATCATAGGCATGAGGATGCATACGATTATGTGGATGAGTGTTACAAGAAGGCAAAGTTCTTTGCTGCATATAACATGATGATGCCAGTTCGAGGAGAGAGATTTTGGATAAAACTAACAGGGAGGCACTTGAACGACTTTCAACCAAGGTGAAGCTTGGTAGATGTAAACATAAAAAATTAAGGGAGG